GTTAGGATCTCAGCTATGGGCAAATAGTGACCCCCCCCGCAAAAACATTATGAAAGTATAAAAATATATTTTTATAGTAAAAATACCAGCAATACATTTTTTTTATATAAAAAAAAACTGATATAATGGAATAACCTGTCACCCCCATGAGTGACTACACTATAGGTAGTAACAAACTATAAGTAACTGTATGTCAACGGACTACAGGGAACTAGCTGGGATCTGTTGAGTATGACATATGCGAGAACTTCCAATAGTAGCACTCACTACTGGATTGACTTGCGACGACCTTGTGCATAACTGTTACCTTAATTCTTATTGTACTGGTTTTGTACAATTAACCTTTACTTATTTTATCCACCTTGTTTTTCAAGTATATATTCCTATTAGCACAGAATATATCAAAAACATTTACTACCAATACCTATTTATAGTAAAAGATTATCCCCAATAGCTAATTATAGTAAAAAAAAAATTACTACCAATACATTTTATCTGTAGTTGAAGGAACACAATTTTGTACTCAATATTTAGATTTCAGCATTAAATAACCCATAGTGATTGATATGCTGTTAAACAAAATCAACCAACTAACATCTAGAACGATACACAATAAAACACTTGCTAAAAATTGTAATGACTTTACCCAAATCCATTTAAAATTCTATCAAATCAGCAGGAAAGAACTCTTTCATGACATTAATCCATATAATATCCAACCATTTCTTAAAGTAATCAAACTGTATTTGAAAATATAACTTTAACAAAATTATATCATAAAACACACGTATCACTGCCTCTCATGTGCACACAGACATGTATATGCATGAAAGCTGTGTATCATCTACCATATATTCAATTGTGAAAGCAGAATAGCATATATCATTTTTTATTACTTCAAAGCTCCTAAGAAGAAAATTAAATTTTGTTATGAAATGACACCTAAGGAGTTTTTATGTCATTAGACAAACAAACAATAAAATTAATATGAGCCAACCACTTTTGGGAAATTTTTCAAGTTTTAATTTTGGTAAATTTCAGTTTATATCTTTTTATTAAAAATCTCTACAATAATAGCTTGAACATTATTCCCCATATTATAAATGAATAGTTGTTACATTTTTTAATTGTAGATTTATAAAGCTTGCCATAGGTTGTTATATATAATCTCAAAAGAGGGACATGATATTGTAAAGTTATTTACTGTCTTAATTCTCAATCAGGAGAAATTTGGAACTCAAATTTCCATTACTTACATTTGGATTATTGTCCCCATCTTTGTTAGCGTCCTGGGTAAGACGTTAAACTACATCTACATCCAGCAGCAAGGTCTCTGATCAGGAGGTTTTGAGGAGCATGGAACCACCTCTTAATTTATTGAGGTTGATATGCTGTAAAACAAAATAAACCAAACCAACCTAAACCAAAGAATACATACTCTATTCATACAAATCTATCCTAAGAATATTGTCGGCATTAAATAACCTATTAAAGTTGATATGTCACAAAACAAGATGGGTTTGGTTTGGTTTGGTTTGGTTTATCTCATCTCATTACTTTGGCCTTTCTGACCCCACCCGCAAGCCTTCATGAGGTGGTTCTTAATCCAGGTAACATGCAGGGAATTTTAAACTGAACCTTTTATTTAATCTATGTGGATAGACTGTTCTTGCTACACTGCCCACATCAAATAATCTCTTTTTATTTTTTCATTTTACCCTAAGCAAGGCCACTAACATGCAAGGGATTGTGGAGTGTGAAAGAATAGAAAAAGAAAAAAATATTATTAAAGAAGTGAGAATCTAATTCCTTGTTTCTTGAGAGAATGGAGCACTTTATAACCTCTAAAACTTTAGTCTCTCTTGACTTGTAATTTCTCTTTAATAGGGTACTAAAGTACAAAGTCTCTATTCCTCTTCGTTTCAATTAATTTGAAGTATTCTCATCCTCTGTTGATGAAACTGAATGCTTTGCACATAAATTCTTCTCAAACTCTACCCTTGACTCATCTGGAGTATCCTTGCCTAACTTGCTACTTAGAACTGATTCTTTGCTGAGTGATATGCATATAACCCTTCCCATGGTTTCTGCTATCATCTCTAACCTTGATTCCTACAAAGTATGTGGACCTGCTGGCATCCCTGTAATAGTCATTAAGAAGTGTGCTCCTGAACTGGCTCCTGTTCTCTCTAAACTGTATAATAAATGCCTTTCCTGCTTGCTGGAAGTCATCGTCTGTTGTTCCAGTTTTTAAGAACTCTGGTGAACCATCCAACCCATCCAACTATCAGCCTATTAGCCATCTGCCTCTTTTGGGGAAACTCCTAGAGGCCTTAATCAATGCTGAATTGGTTCATCATCACAGAGCCTTTTCTCAGACAAACAATATAGTTTTCATTTCTCCAGAATCACTGCTGATGTACTAACAATAGTTGCGGAAAGAGTTTATCATGCTCTAGATAAAAACAGTGAAGCCAGGGCTGTAGCATTAGACATCTCAAAACCCTTTGACAGGGTCTGGCATTCAGATCTTCTCCACAAGCTGAAAAGCTATGGTATCTTCGAGCACGTTTTTGAGCTGATCCAGTCATTGCTATCAAATCGTGAAATGAAAGTTTTCCTAAATGGCCACTCATCTACATCCTTTTACGTTCCCCAGGGTTCCATCCTTGGTCCTACGCTGTTTTTAATCTTCATTAATGACCTTCCCGATGGCATCAGCTCTGTACTTGGCATCTACACTGATGACACTACTGTTTACTCCTGTCTTGATAGTAAGGCTGATCATTCAAACAAGGTCAAAGTGGCAGGCAATATACAAAACGACCTCAAAACTGTTGTTAACTGGAGCAAAAGATGGCTTGTCTATTTTAACACCTCCAAAACTAGACTTCTCTCCATTTATCATCTGCCTTCCATCAGCATGGCTTATGCTAATCTCCAGGAAAGTGACTTGTTGCATCTTCTCAGGTTAACATTCTCAGCTGACATGAAGTGGAAAGACTACATTGAATCCATCATTATATTAGCTGCTAAGAAAGTTTATTCTGTCAGGCAAGACTCTTTTTCTCTCTGGAATCTATCTTGCATATCTATAAATCTCCTGTTTGTACATGCTTAGAATATTGCTGTCATATATGGTCCAGTGCTCCTGCTATTTTCCTGGAGATCCTTGATAAGATACAAAGAAGAATCAGCAATATTATTGGTTCTGATCTGGTGGCTTGACTTCAGTCACTTGCTCACCACTGTAAGGTTGCCTTTCTGTGCTTTTTTACAAATATTTTCATGTTAATTGTTCGGATGAGCTCTTCACTATGGTTTCTAGACTTTATGAATTTAAGTGCAATTCTAGACTGGTGGTGAGATCTCCTCAATTTACAGTTGAGCTAGCTAGATGTAGCTGTAACTTTTATGCTAACAGTTTCTTATCCCACACTTCTCACTTGTGGAACTCCCTCTCGGCTCCATGCTTTCCAACCAACTATAATCTGAAAAATTTAAATGCAGTGTCAATTGCTATCTATTGTCCTCCTGATTGCTCTTTTCTTTCTCTTCATTACTAATGTTTCTGTTCCTTATTTCTCCACACCCTATAACCCCTTGCATGTTCATGGATGTAATGCCTTGCTTGGGGTGATACTGATTTTTAAAAAAAAAATGTTCTGTGAGTATATGTAGCATAGACATTGCTTAAAGTGTATGGAGCATATGACAACATATGAAAAGTCCAAGCAAAACACAAAAGTCATTGTATAAACACACACACACACACACACACACACACACATTTGAGTATGTGTGACACTATGGCAACCCATGTAAAAAGTAAAGAGGTGGTTTTATTTTGATCTCAAGTGTTTCTGTTTGATGTCCAGCAGATGGTTCCTTTTTTGAAGTTTGATCTTCTAAATATTATCTGCTTTGACCAAAAGGTAACATGGAAGTAAAGGAGAGGATGGGAGGTTTTTGAGGATGGCATAATGATTACCCCTGGTAATCATAATGGGAACTGGATTGTGTTAAAAAAAAAAAAAGATATGAATCTACTTTTCCTTGTCTCTGATTGCTAGATATCTTGACAAAATGTCTTCCCAATGGCATGACACAATGGTCGATGGAGAAAAGTCAGATAACTTTTTATCCTGACAGCTGCATCAAAATTCAGTTATTCCAATGTTCAAGCTTGGCAGGAGATAATAAAAATTTAAAATGAAGTTTAGTATTTACATCTAGGTTAACAGGCTCAACTATCACAAAATTTTTAGTGGCTGTGCTTTGCAACCCTCTTCAAAAGTCCATCAATCCAGGTAACCTTCAGGCACTTTTGAACTGAATCCCTAATTTAATCTATGGATGTAAGTTCTCTTTCCACTGCCCTTGTCTAGGGATATCATCTTGTTGCTTTTTTTTTTTTTTTTTTTATATAGTACTGCAGTTATTACTGGTCCTGTCTTCACAGGGTCTGTACTACCCTAGTTTTATCCAAATTCATCTTGCAAAATCTCTGAGCTATGGGATTGAGTTGTTCTTAAATGGAAGCTTTTTGATTGGCCATATTTTCTTCTATGTATTTTGCACATGTGATATGTATGAGCACATTTTATTCCAGGAGGTAAGCTGTTTTCCCTTCTACAAGTCTGTATTACTGGGCTCAGGGATTGAACTCGGAATTACTATGTTTCAAAGTTCCTGAAGCAGATTAGGGTAAAACAGGTAAAATTTTGTGATAATAACAGGGATGAGGATATTAGATTGAATGTAAATGACTTCTCATTCCAGAAATTTAGAGAAAAAATTTAATTGTAATTTTTAATTTAAAAAAAAATTTTTATTTCTAAATTTACTTTATTTATGTTTCAGGAAAAATTTGGAGACTCGTACAGAATTCTCTTTCCATGCAGTGTTGTGTCCACCTGTAAAAAGATTGTCTAGAGCCACTCTGTCCATTCTCATTACTCAGCTCTTGGACTTGCTTCACCTTTGCCCATCTGTCCATCATGTTACACAAGAAGCCATTCAACATCTACATCCTGCAAATTCTTTTCACTCTTAGTGAGAGTATCTTGCGGGTCTTTCTCTGGAGCTTAAACCGTTTGCTGGGGTTATTTATTCTGACTACTCCAGAGATGGACCACCTGCCCACAGTTGTCCTCAGCACAGCTCTTGTTCTGCCTTATTTGACGTTATTATTTGCAACCCTGCCCTTTGGCCTCATTGGCTTCGTCTTGCGATGCCTCTTGCACCAACTTCGTCATCCTTATGTTTACAGCTATCAAAAGCCCGTGTTCCCTCTGTCCAAGCACGTTCCAGAAACTGTAGCTATTACAACTTCTAATATCTGCCTTTTGCCTGAATTTTTGTCACGGTATAACAACATGTTAGACACTGCTGGTCGAGCAAGAACAATTGGTGAGCGTTTTGTCTGTGATGATTACCTCAGCGCCAAAAAGAGGGACAGAATTGAAACAATTGGTGCTGCAAAGGCAAATGGACCGAGCACCATTTCCAGCAAGAATAAGTGTGATAATTTTCCAAAGACGGAACGGCATCACTTTAACTGGAACCAAAATACCAGCAGTTCTGATTACAAAAATTCTTTAAGGCAGAGAACGAATGCAGCTAACACAGATTACATGGAATTTACTCGCAGCGTTGTGACCAACTTTCCCCAATTGGATATTGTCTGTTTCCAGGAAACATGGGACAGAGATTTTGCTAAGATTCTCCTTGATAAGATCCATTCTGTGTTTCCTTATGTGGTTTATGATGCTGGATCATGCAATTCTCAGAGTAATTTGTTCATGCTGAACAGCGGCCTTATGATAGCAAGTAAGTTCCCCATTGAAGATGCCGATTTCAAGTGGTTCCAGGCATCCACACTTGCCTGTAGATTTAGTGCAAAAGGCCTTCTCATGGTCAAGGTAAGTAGTCAATGTTTATTGATACACATTGTTCTCAGTAATTTTAAATAATTTTGTTTTTAAATAATTTTTGTTTGTAGTTAGTTTTTTAATAAGTTTGGTTTTTAGCAATTGTTTTTTTTTTTAATAATTTTTTGTTTTTTTAGCTAGTTTTTTAATAATTTTTGTTTTTCTCAAGTTTTTTAATAGTTTTTTGTTTTTTTAGCTAATTTTTTTTTTAGCTAATTTTTTTTGCTAGTTTTTTGTTTTACCTAGTTTTTTTAATAATTTTTTTTAGCAAGATTTTAATTTTTTTTTTTTTTTTTATATTATTAACTGGCACAAGTACCTCAGTAACTGATCTTTTCACTGAAGAATAATGATGAGATTTTTGGATGCATTGTTTTTTTTTTTTTTTTTTTTATAGTACTGCAGTGATTACTGGTCCTGTTTTCACAGGGTCTGTACTACCCTAGTTTTATCCAAATGAATCTGTATTTGTTTTATAATATTTAACTGTTAGTGTAAATCTGTTAAAATGCTCTAAATAGGAGAATTAAAACAATTACTCATCCAATTTACAACAGAATTGTGTATATGATCCAACCAACAATGAACTGATTGCACAGAGATAACTTAAACTATATTAAATACTATTATTAGTTTACATTCACTTTTGGCTTACACTCTTTTTAATAATTTTTTTTTTTTAAATTTTTTTTTTATGATTACAGTTAATTAGTCAATGAAGTAACAATGTCTCGCAGCCCGTCCATGGAACACCAACAAGTTTTGCTATCTTTTGCTTTTAATTTTTACGTTCACAAAATTTTTAGGTTCTTCACTTTCTGCATACCATATTTTAGAATATTTTTATTTTTTTCTTTATTCTTTTTTTTTCTTTCAGGTATTTTTAGGTGAAGAAAATGGGAAACGTGCTGTGGGATATATTTACAATACACACTTACAAGCTTATGAAGGTGAGGGCTTTAAGTCATTATTCAATTAAAAAATAAAAGCCTCCCCAAATTCATTGACATATTATTTTAGCATGACAATTAAAGAGAACTATTTTTTTTTTAAATTTTTTTTTTTAACATTTTTAGATTTAACCCCCAGACATCGCTGGATTTAAGAATCAGCTTGGACTTAGAGCTCTACAAATGAAAAGGGCTTCAAAAGAATATTTCAGAAATTGCTTTTTGGTGGGAGGGAACAGGAGCTTTTAAAATTCTGACAATTATTTTTTATCAAGGGATTTCCAAGTTTTTATTCTAAATTCAGCACAAGAAATTTCAAATATTTAAACTGAAATTCGAAATGTGGTTTAAAATTTCAATCTGAGAGATTTTCAGCATTTTCTCAGATTTTGATAAGTGGATAAAGCTGAAAACTATTCAGCAATCACTTGTGTGATATTGTGTGTGTGTGTGTATATCAAACCATATAATAATTATCAATGTGTATTCTATATATTTCCTGTCTCATTTGATGAAGGGAGATAATATTTTCTTGTTAGATAATATAAAGAATTTTTTTCATTAAATCAAACCATATAATAATAATAATAATAGTAGTAATAATAATCAATGTGTATCTATATATTTCCTGTCATTTACAAGGAACAATTACTTTCAAACAAATATATCATGGTTTTTATTGATGTTGCCATTAAAATGTATCAGTCACTATATATTTTATTTGAATATGTGAATTACTGTATCCTACATCCGATGCACTTTTACTCTCTAAATATATAATTAAATAACTATTAAAAGATAAAGTTGGTATTAATAGTGTAGGTGCAAGTTCTCATATTTAAATACAATTTAGTTTTGCTTTTTTGTATCAAAGATTCAACACAAACTTGTTGTATAAATGTAGGATTAAATTTAAATAATTCCTGATATTTTACATTGTTTTTTGCATTTAAGAAAATTTTGTCCAGTGACTATCATAAAATGGAAAATTTTCTTCAAGAAAAGAGATTAGAACAAGAGCAAAAACAAAGGCAGCAATTTTGCTGATCTCAGGATCAGATACTGGCAGAGTGGGAGGCTGATAGGCAAAGATATTCACAAGCATCACAGGAACACTATGAAGCAATGAAAGACCAAATGAAATGGGGAAGAATCTAATGCAAGAGCTGTTATGAGAGAATGCATAGCTGAAAGAATTCAAAATGAAATGGAGGAAGGTTGTAAAGCAAGAAGAAAAAATATGCGAATGGAAGAACATCTTCGAGGAATGAGAATACTGGCACCATGAGAAATGCAGAGTTCATAGATTAATCTTCTGTTCACTGGTCTGTTAACATCAATATAAAAGTGGCAGACAAAAAAATAAACTGACATTTTTTTTTTAATGTGTGTGTGTGTGTGTATATATATATATATATATATATATATATATATATATATATATATATATATATAATAAAGGTAAGACAATAGGAAAACTATTGTTAGCCAACGTATTTCGTCCAATGTGGACTTTTCCAAGGCAAAAATGAAATGAATTTATTGAAAACAAAGTAACTATTAACAACAAACAAAATGTCCTTAGCAACTAGAATTTAGAAAACACTATTATATTCATATTGTCAACTGAAAATTACATAAAGTACTTTCATATGTAGAAATATTTTCAGTTGACAATATGAATACAATAGTGTTTTCTAAATTCTTTTGGCTTCTTGCTTTCCAGTTAAGTTTGAGCTTCAAAAATTTAAATGCAATGTCAATCCTTATCTTCTGTCTTCCTGATTACTCTTCTATTGTTCTCTCTCCTCAATAATGCTTCTGTTTTCTAATTCTTCCACATCCAGTAAACCCTTGTGTTTTAGTGGGTTTACTACCTTGCATGGGGTGAATTGGATTTAAAAAAAAAAAAAAAAATGTGTAGACAAAGTTGCTGAAAGTTTTTTGACAACCACAGAATAAAAAATAAAATTCTGAATAAATATCAGAATTTTTTTAACTTTAATTTTTCAGCATCCATTTTTGTCTGTTTGAATATAATATTCAAATGTGATCAAGAGGTTAGAATGTTAGCATTCTGACCATGAGACCTGGCTTTGGATTTCACCATGGTTGATTTGTCAAAGAAGCAACTTAACACTATTGGCATGGGGAGATGATTACAGTATGTGGTACTGTTGGGAAGTATCTGAAAATAGTACCACAGGTTGACCCCCAACCTTGTGAGTGAAATTGAGTAGATGAAACTGTTTGGAAGCCATCACTGATTCTGCTTGCATAAAGTCACAAGTCATTGTGACTGAAGATTTGAGCGTACTGGCCTTATTGAAACTGTCAATCATGACAGATTGTGCTTTTTCCCAGAAACTGTAACAAAGGTCCACTCAGCATAGTTGCAGTAGGAACCTCAGATTGACTCTGTGGGTGTGGAACAAACAGTAAATGGCTTGATTAAAATTGTGATAATTTACTTTTTTTTTTATGATGAAAATAAATACTTGTCAGAAATTAATAATCATTTGAATATTGTTTCATCTATGAAATAAAAAATATATCTCATTTATCTGGTTTTCAGGAAAACATCTGATTTTAGATAAACAGCTTGATGACATTGTCAAGTGGACTGAACAGTTTCGAAAAGAAACCTTAAAGCAAGATGAATGTGTGAAATTTGACTTCATTTGTGGAGATTTCAATTTTGACAATTTGTCACCTGGTAAGTGTTTGATTTTAACTCTTAACCATAATGGCTACTTCTACAATATTGTATTTTCATGGGTAAATAAGTTGATTCACACAAGTGGGAGAAATTTAACAGGCGAAAAGACCAATAAACACAAGGTAATTAATAGATTTATAAACAACAACGACATATACAAGAAGAGGTGATTTCAAGCTTTTATTTGTGCTTGTGGAGTCAAACTTATCTTAAAGGAAGAGTCTACTTAACTTGATTCAAGATATTAACTTTACATCTGCAAGAGACGGCTCCAGAGTAGAATGTATGCCATTCTTGAATGGTGTCACAATTCAAAAGAGGAAGAGTTTAAGATTGGAGTTTTTAGTGCCAACAGAAGCTGGCTTCTGATTGGCTGATAGAATGCTTGGGTTTAAAGTAGGTGAAGAAAACTGTTCCCATTATAATTTTGAATAACAATGATTTGTGGACCTGAGACAAATGGTTTTTATGGTGCAAGAAAAATTCTCAATCTGCCTTGAAAATCAGCATACAGATTTTTTATTCTAAATGCCATATTGCTTCAGTACATAACTGGTTATTTTTCTTTTCTTTTTTTTTTTAATATCTCTGACTTGCCAAGATTTCTTAGGAAAGATAGTTTTCCCCATTGTCAAAAGGACAGTTATTCTCTTGACATCACTATTACTGTATACACTTTTGATTCCCTCAGCAATGTTTGTTTTAAAAAAAGTGCTGATTTGAATTTTAATAAAACCCAAACATAAGTGGATTTATACTTTTTCTTTGTTCTTGAGAATTGACAACAAAGATATTCGACACTATTTATTTGATTGCTTATTTCATTTCTTAAATATGAAATTTTTTTTTTATTCATAAATTTATAAAAATGTCTGAACAAGAAAATCTAAATAAACACATGAAAATAACTAATTATAAATTTTGAAAAAATGCATTTTCTAGGCTTTTCTTTCATTTTCTCTCATCACATAGATTCACAAAAATAGGTTCAGAGCATCTCTTCCTCTAAATCAAACATTCTTTTAATTTTGGATTTTAAGCAAGATCACAAACACTCAAAATATTGAGTATATCTCCCCATCCATTGGCTGGACAAATTTTTCTTTGTGTTTAAATTACAGAATCTCTGTAATTTTTACTCCAAATATTGCATTGTTTTTGGTTTACATATCTTGATAATTTTGTAGTTCTTTTCAAATTTATTTCTTTATAAAATAGTGTAAGAATACAGAAGGCTCTTATCTCCCTTACATGATGGCTGCTTAATGATGTCACTCCATACAGTGATGAAACCGATGTGTTATTTTTCAACAGCCACCACGTAAGGTTACTTTCTTTTAGCCTGGTCCCTTTGGCATAGGCTGAGGCTACATCTGCCTCCCCTGCAACTTACAAGTCCCTGGTGCTATTTCCCTTTTGGGAATATATCTTTCCCCAGATACATAATGAAACTCCAGCCCGCAGTCCCAAATTTGCGAAAACCCAAGACTCACTGTTTCCCATTTGTGGAATATGCCCTTGCCTAAGAGACATAAATAAATTTGGCTCATTTGAATCTGGAGCCCTAAATATGTCTACTCCAGGTACAGGAGTATCTCAATATTATATGTAAGATCCTTCCTTTTCATTTCTCCTTACACTCTGTTTTGCTGTGTAGATATATATGATATATTATTCATTGTTCTCTGCTTTGGATATATATATATATATATATATATATATATATATATATATATATATGGTTTTGTGTATGTTTTAGTAATATAAAAGTTTCTCTTAGAACATTTTTGTCATTCTTTTTCTTTTCAGCCATTCTGTTCCATCCATGAAATATCAGTGTTATTATATCATGGATATAACAATACCAATAAAGGGAGAAACATAAATGAAAGAATAAATCTTTCTTCCAAGTGCTCCCTATCCTGGGTAAGACGATAAATTATATCCAACAGCAAGGCCTTTGATCAGAAGGTTTTGAGGAGTTTGGGACCCCCTCTTAATTGCTGGTTTTCCCAGGTCCGCCATGACCCAGGGTGGTAGCACCTGTTAGGGTCCCAGCTATGGGCAAATGGTTAACCTGCCAAATGAGGTTAAAACACTATCAAAGTATAAAAATAGGTTTTAATACCAGCAATACATTTTTGAAAAAAATATTACCAGCAATAAAAATCTTGTCGGCATTAAATAACCCACTGAGGTTGATATGCCGTATAACAAAACAAAGCAAATCAATAGATACTTAGATGAAAAATATTACCAGCAATAAAAATCTTGTTGGCATTAAATAACCCATTGAGGTTGCTATGTCATAAAATAAAGCAAACCCAACCAAACCAAAACCCTTAGTAGAACTTAAAATAGCATTAAAAAATAAGTTTCAGATATCTAAGAGTCTTTTGAACCATTCCTGTTTCTGGCATTGATTTAGGCATCGTATGGTACTGAACAGAAAATTTATTATAGGCCATTTTAATTCAAGACAAAATATGTAAAGGTCTATTTAGTTAAGAAGTTTTGAGAGCCATACCCAATATAGTATTTCTTTTTAATCATTTAAACACGATCAAGGCAATAATACCATTAAGTCGCAAGGTGTTACTGAGAAAGGAAGAAAATAAAAAGCCTCTAATTTGAAAAAAGGACAATAAAAGAACAGTTTTCAGAAGAGTGATTGATATTTCAGTTGTCATTTATTATTTATTATATGTTATGATCCATTTGAAATTTTATTAGATGATTTGGTTTTGTTTGCTTTGTTTTACGGCATATCAACCTCAATGGGTAATTTAAGGCCAACAAAATTTTTATTGGTGGTAATATTTTTTGTCTATCTGTCTCTCTTGGTCTCTTAAATATTACCAACAATATATATTTTTGAAAAAAATATTACCAGCAATAAAAATCTTGTCAGCATTAAATAACCCACTGAGGTTGATTTGCCATATAATAAAACAAACCAAATCAATATATACTTAGATAGATAGATATAAAGTGACCAAGAGAGACAGACATGAAGAGACTAAGATAGATATAGATAGATGAAAAATATTACAAGCAATAAAAATCTTATTGGCATTAAATAACCCAGTGAGGTTGATATGTCATAAAACAAAACAAACCCAACCAAGCCAAAACCCTTAGTAGAACTTAAAATAGTATTAAAAAGTAAGGTTCAGATATCTAAGAGTCTTTTGAACCATTCCTGTTTCTGCATTTTGAGTTAGGCATCGTATGGTACTAAACAGAAAATTTATTATAGGCCATTTTAATTCAAGATAAAATATGTAAAGGTCTATTCAGTTAAGAAGTTTTGAGAGCCATACCCAATATAGTATTTCTTTTTACTCATTTAAACAAACCAAGCCAAGTGCTCCTGTTACAATAGTAAATAATAAAAACCCAAGACTCACTGTTTCCCATTCATGGAGTATGTCCTTGCCTGGGACATAGGTGAATCTGACCTATTTGAATCTGAATATATATTAGTTTTGTATATGTATTAGTAGTATAAAAGTCTCTCTGAAACCAAGTGCTCCTATTACAATAGTAAATAATAAATCTTTAGGAAAGATAAATAATAAATATTGCATTGTACTTGGCTTGGTTGACATTTTTATAATCTTGTAAAACATTACCAAGGGCAACTAAAATTTACTGTATACACTAATAGTCGCATAAAGAATAACTGTTCCTTTTGACACACCGACAGTTTTCTTTCAAACGGGAAGGTAAAACCATGCCACCCACAGCTTGAGTTTGTGCTATTTAAACTACTGTTAGATGAAGAGATTAATCCCTTTCCCAAGGGCATTAGTGCAAATTGAATATAACAGTAATGCTGGTGTACCCCAAGGCTTTATTCTTGGATGTACACTATTCCTTATTTTTATCAATGACCGTCTTGATGGCACTAGTTTTCAACTCGGTATCTATACTGATGACATAACTACTTACTCCTGTTTTAATAGTAAGTCTGATTGGTTCAATAAGGTCAAATTGGCAGCTGTTCTAAAAAATGACTGACAGTTGTTAATTGGGGCAAGGAATGGTTTCTTAATTTTAAGGCCTACAAAATGAAACTGCTCATTATCAGTCATCTTAGAGACTCCATTTTCTCTCTTTCATCAGAATGGCTGATGCTAACTTCAAGAAGAGTGATTTCTTGCACCTTCTCAGGCTAATATTTTTCACTAACATTAAGTGGAAACATTATATTGAATCCCTTGATAGGTCCGCTGCTAGGAAAGTTGGTTCCCTGTGTTGTGACAGTTTTTCTCTCCACAATCTATCTTACATATTTATAAGTTTACCATTCATTCATACTTTGAATATTGTTGCCACATAGGGTCTTGTGCTCCTGCTATACTTTTTTGAGATTCTTGAAAAGATCCAAAGAATCTGGAATGTTATTGGTCCTGACCTGGTAACTTGCCTTCAGGCACTTTCCCCATTGCCGTAATGTAGCTTCCCTCTTCCTCTTCAATAAATACTTTCATTGTAATTGTTCTAATGAACTTTGCTGTACGGTTTCTAGACTATGAGTTTAAGCACAGTACTCGATTTGCAGTAAAGCCTCAACATTTTACAGCTGAAATGGATAGATGTAAGTTCCATACTAACAGTTTCTTCTCTCGCACTTCTCGCTTGTGGAACTCTCTTCCAGCTTCTTGCTATCCAGTCAAGTTTGATCTTCAAAAATTTAATTGCAATGTCAATCGTTATCTTCTGTTTTAATTCTTGTTCTTTTATTGTTCTCTCTCCTTAATGATATTTTTTCTCATACTCCTAAACACTTGATAACCTCCTTGCATCCTAGTTGCTTTATTGCCTTGCTTGGTGTGAAATTATTAATAGAAGAAGAAGAAAAAAAAAAAAAAAAAAGAGGCTCCGTTGGAATTTGAACTTGGCTTACTGATTTGTGCACTGATTACCATTGTTCAAACATTCACACTGTTTATCATGCAAGGGGAATAATTCTGATTTTATTTTATTAATTCTGATTTCATTTAGTCGTATTTAATCACGTGACATTGATATAATTATTTCATAACAAATTAAATATTTAAATGTTTTTTTTTCTAAATTCACAGAAAAATCTTACATGTAATAATTTTTGAATGATTACTAACAAGTAACTGTTTTAACCTTGGTTTTTCAAAACCATTGAGTTGGCATGATGAAAAATTTGTCAAAAATTGCAAAATATAGCATTAAAGCATCAATTTTTAAAATTTTTCTATAGTTTCTTTATGCACAAAGTGACTTTAAATAAGTAGGAGTAATGGTAAAGTGAGTGGGCAGGTACAAAATAATTCAAAAGCTTGCCTATGTATTTAAATTTCTGTTTTCCTTTTTAATACTACCTTCCTTCAGGATGAAGGTGATCATAGCTCTCCACAGTTTCCTTTGTTCTCTTATCTGTAAATTGCCAGGACTTCTTGGGAAAGATAATGATTTCCTGTTGGCTTCTCTATGGCTTTGAATTTTTATTCTTCTCTTAGACTGCTATCACCTGAGACTCCAGATCTCAGCCTGCCCTACTATTTAAGCCATAGCAGATTGCCCTTATATGCTGATTTCAAATGCAGTTGTCATTAAAGTTATTCTTCTATTTGTCCTGAGATTTAAGACCTACAATCACATTTGTCACTGAACTCTTCTTTGGTCTGTGTGATTACTTTTTCAATTCTATCATCACTCTGCACTGCCAGGTGATTTTAAATTCTGCCTTTTTTCTCGGTTTGGGGTCCATCTTAAAGCAACTTGAAGTATTCTTTCATTAGACAGCCTCATTGTAAGCTTTGTCATGTGATTTTTTTTATACATTCCTGTTCTTCCCCAAATTTTCTGTAACACTGTATATAATCATTAGAATGAAAAAAAAAAGCTTTCATGTACTTGTTTCATAAATCTTACCTGTGATGTCATAAATCAGCTGTTATTCAAATCCTTAATATGGTGCCATTAATTTTACCTCTAGTTTTAAATCTTGCTACCACTAGTTTGTTTTAGCATTTCATTATATATTTGATCTAATTGCCTTTACTACTTAAAAATATTTTCAACTGACTTTTTGTTCAGGTGAAGCTCGTTTGCAAACACACCCAATTTATAATTTTTATGAAGACATTCCCCGTGCTGGTCCTGGAAAAGACCATTCCTGGACTGTTGGTAAGTAAAATTTTATTTATTCCCAGGTTTTGGATTACAGAAATTACAGTCGCTTTTGTTGTTACCATCTTTTGGATGATAAATTCTACAGATTTTGGAAATTAGGGGAAGCCATTATTGTTCTAAAAGTTGTTTTGACTTTTAAATTCGTAGTTTGTAAATTATTTTTTTTTTTTTTCTAACATTATTTCAGCTGATGTGTTTTACAACCTTATTCAGGTACACAATCCATAAGGAAAAAGAGAGGTCTTCTTTCCCAAGAAAATTTCAAATATACTGACTAGTTAGGTTCATTTCTAGTCATGTGAACTACAAAGCGAATGATATGGGGAGGTGGGAATATTTATGACCCTTTCCATTTTGTTTACTTCTATATTCTGCATGAGCACAGATGTCTCTTCCCTAATGGATTATATATATATATATATATATATATATATATATATATATAGAAGTTAATAAATTTATTGGTCCAAGTGGATCCTAGGAATATAAAATATTAAAACTGATACACAAAAAAGAGCCCAATGTATTTATTATAAAGAACAAAAAATGTAAATCATACAACGCAAAATTACCTCATATTTGGTTATAGACCTATTTTAGCTGACAAAAACTTTGTGGTCTTATCTAACCCGGCCTATACAGATATATATATATATATATATATATATATATATATATATATATATATATATATGGCTCATTCTGTGTCAAATCAATAAATGGGGGGGAAGAATTGTTGTTACAAGCGTTTTATAGAACTGGGCAAATTCAAAAATGATGAATGTAGTATCTATATTCATATAAAAAGCATTTTGATATTTACAATATGGTCAAGTTTATATCTTTGTAAAGCTATTTGAATGCTGACTAATGTTCACATAAGGACCATGGTCATGAAATCAATAAAAAAAATTTTTCTGGTGATGAAACTGAATTTTCTTCATTTATTTTCTAATGCAACACAGTCTTGTAAATGAAATTTTTAAAGTGTTCTGAATGTAAAAATAAAGAAAAATGTGTGCAAGACAATAAGCAACACTACCTACCAAAAAAAAGTGAAGTTTTGTTGAAAAATTCAAGAAATATAAAGAACACAGACACACAGACACAGACACACAAACAACATTGGTTTCTATACTGGATCAGATTTCGTACATTTTTCAAACGATTTCAACAAAACTTCACAGGACTACGTAAAATTAACTTGCGGTGGTTCTGACAGCGCCAAAAATTGGAAAAGCAGAAATTTTTTTTTGCACTAAATCAATTTGAAAACACCATTTAGAGGCATCACGTGAATGGAAGGAAGACAACTCATACTTAAGTATAACTCGATATGAGTTGTCCCCCTTTCGGTTGAAAAATGTATGAAATCTGATCCAGTATAGAAACAGACAGAAACACACACGCACACACACACAATCTGCGTTTTATAATAGGTAAGATTATGCTAAGCAAAGACTCCTCTAAAACCTGTTGAAAAATATTTTTCATTCGAAGATATGGAGTCAGTGTAGAATGCAAAAGGAGTCATATCATGAGTGGGATTTTAATGAAAAATTTTCTGAGCGCATAATGGGAGATCACATTCCATTTCTCGTCCCATACCCCTTTAGTTTTATTTTTTACTACTTTTATTTAGCATTATGTTAAGGAAATTTCCTCCTCTAAAAACTGTTTAAAAATATTTTTCATTCGAACATTGGAAGTGAGTGTAGAAT